TGACGGAACAGTTATTGCATCCCGAAGGGCAATGGAGAAGGTCATCTACTACTTCTACTCTGATCTCTTCGACTGCCATGTCTACATGCCTACCTGCTGTCGAAGTGGCGCATGTGGAAGGATGGGAGGTATATGGATCGGCTGTGGGTTGTGCAGTATCCGAAAATTGCCTTCCGCTGTCACCATGGTTGTTTGAAATTTCAATATGTGTGTCCCTCTTTGGATATGTTCGTCGGCCAATACACTTTCGAAGCTCTTATTAGGGCCTGTACAATTGTAAGTCGTTTTCCCACCCCACAGTGTACAATGTTTTTGGGGGTCCACGGGTCTAAGTTAGAGGATAGCTAGGAGACTGTTCTCATCGTGAACTGTGCTTTTAACCTGCGCATATTTTCTGAGTGCCGACCAAACAGATAGGAAGCCTGTTGGGAAATGGAAGCTCTTTACCTCCTGCCAGCATATTCTCAAACATGCTTAGAGTCCGTACCAGCAGGCGTCTTGAGCAGTGCTCCCCATGATACAAAGACAAACTGTAACCAGGAGCAGTAGGTATCTTTCTCTCATCATGATTACTGAAAGAGCGCATCACCGGAACAAAATACTTGTAATTAGCGATTGAAGAGGCATCATAATAGCTAATGGTGACTGAATGAAGGGGTATAAACGAAGTCGGTTAGGTGAGCTCATTCTCCTTTGAAGCTGAAGCTGAATCGGTCTGTTGTTGGGTACCATTAATCAATCTGTTGGTGCTCCCAGGTACTAATAATGCGTGGAACTCGGAGGTATTATTTACAGCATGCTGGGCGCTGCAGTCCGTTCACGCAGAGGGTGGCCAGCGACTCTAAAGAGACGAGCTGCTTGGGCAACGGCAGGTCGTAGGTTGTCGGCGATTAGGATCTGAGGTACTTGTTCCTAAGCGAGGGCCTGTCTCGGTAAGAAAGAGGAAGCGTCGTCTAAGGGCAGCTGAGTCAGCACTTTGTCGTGCCGTCTGCGCTCTCTCATACCATCTTTACTTATTCGTTTCGAAACCCCAAGGCATAAACTACCCGAAGAGGTATAACTACAAGTTGGCTACCCCATAGTCAGCAGTCAACAAGCACCCGCTGTTCTTGTTTCTGACGATATCTACATATTCTTCCCCTTATTTTCCTCACTAGCTAACCAGGATGGTTGCGTGAAGACTGGGTGATTTACCCTTTTGAAAGCAATAAGACAAGGGTGGTTCAGAACGTTTATTGTAAGATAGAGATAGTAGCGTGGGCGGGTTGACCGTTCCCAACGTTTAGCAAAAGCAAGTATGCCAGTATATGAGAGAAGTGTGAATGCTACAAGTAACTGTAAAGCAAGCACGAGCCTAATCCTACCGCGCCCCGCCCCACTTGATAGCAGGGGGTAGGGCGCTTACGTAATAGTACGGGGTCGTCGAGGACGACACTCCCGCGGGGCAACGAAAAAAAACAAATCATGCACAACAAATCTTCCAAATCTGAGCGGTTTGTTGGCAGCTTGCGATCGGAGAAATGGCGTGTCGTGGCATGTGAAGGGCTTGGCGTGGATGTGCGGCTCGTTGACAAATGTAGACAGAGGGTGAATTGTGCGGCTTGTTGGTGCGTGTAGTTAGCTTGAAGAGAGACGGTTGTAGACGAGATGACGATGACGGCGAAGAAGAGGAGAGATGGGTAGTGATTGTACCGACGTGAATTTTACATTACTTGGGAGACTTTTTACATGACTATAGCTCTGTTTTCACGCGACTGGGTTGCTTGATTGTGTACGGTCGGCTCGTACCACTCGTTTGATTATTCCGGCTCAGAATTTCTAAACAAAATGGTTCGTTCAATGGTCGATGGATTGTTTTATGGTTTGGCATAAGCACTTCCTCTGATCGTAAGTCCATCCGTTGAGATTGCTACGGTGGTTGCTTTTCCATATGACCAATTTCTTCTCGGAATAAGTTATTGTTCGGTCAAGACTGCTAGCGAATTCGTTTGAGGAACAATACGTTTCAATCGATTGCTTTTGAATCGAGTACGATCTGAGTAGTGGTCAGGGAGGTCGAACTCGTTCCCTTTTTTGTTCTGTACATTCTTGTCACAGAAGCAATCCTGCGATTGTGACCTACTAACATTCTTTGCTCCCTGGAGTACTAGGGATTTTTCTGAGAATTCAGAATCTGTCACAGGATTTTTTAAACACGATTCGAACTGTGAAGCAGCTTCAATGCGGTTAGTATTTTTGCTGCTACTGTTCGTTGTATCGAGCTGAGGGACGTTGTCTCTTGAGGGAAACGCCTCATTGATGAACACGTCGCAAAACGAATTGCTTTTCGAATTTTTTGGATATTTTACAGCTTCATTGTTTTTCTGGGAATTCTTAGGCGGATTTCTTCGCCTGTCAAAACTGGGCATCTTTCTTAGCCTTTCTTGTTTCGCGCTTTCGTGTATAAAGGTCATTCCATAACAGATAGTGGCATCTATTTTCTCTACGACGCCTTTACCGTATAGGGTGGGCCCAAAAACTGTAGTCGCTATGTGTAGCCCAGAGGGAGTTTGTAAGGAATTCAGTGAGCCTGTTACCAGTTCGTAGTAGTGATCCAACCCTACAAGGATATGTGGTTTCTGATGTTCTCCACGAACTTTTGAATTGGACAAACAAATACTTCTTGTCTTTAGAAATGAGACATCTTTCGCGCTGAGTTTCACGCTGGGAAAACCGCTGGTGATCACTGGCTTTGT